ATTTGAGGGCTTAGCTAAGGGGGCTGGCTTTAAAGGTTTTGGAGTAATGTGCTGTGCATTCAATACACACGTCATTGAATTCCGCAAGAAGGCCTAAGGCTCTCTCTCCATTATTTTGGGATCCAGCAACGATGTTGCTCTCTCCTTTTGATGTTGGGATTGCTTTCTTACGTATACAAGTACTTATCTCTTATGAAACAAAAATAAGATTGTGTTCTGTTTGCTTCTTGTTTCTAATAACTGCATATATATCTCAAAATTTTGTTTCACGTGAAAAGATTTCTTATAGGTTTTTTCCATGCCTCGAGCGTTAAAGACGTTGTAATGAAAAAGAAAGCAATTCATCATGTATCTTGCAAGATTATGAATATTGTTCTTAACAAAAAGTGTTTAGTTTTGGAAATCTACTTCTTAGAGTGTGGCATTGGTCATCGCAGGTAAAAACTGTAAGTTAAGAGCTGTTTGTTTTGAAAGATGAAATGTGGCTTGTTAACGCGTTCAAGTTTGTTTTGTCCGAAGGATGGTCATTAGATAATGGAAGATTAACTAGTGTGATTTTTACAGTCATTGTTTTTGTGTTTTAATTCCAACTTCCTCTACGAAAATTAAAATCATGTTTAATTTTTATATTTTTATTTTATTTCTTTCAATCGAACACTTATAAGATAAAAATAAAATTTTCATTTTTACGCTCATGATTACATTTCTTAATATCAAACAGCATTATAGGATTATTTTAGAATTTGAAGGCGAGAAGCAATAAACTGAGTGGCCAAAATTGAACAACTGATTGGGCCCTTTATAAAACTTTTTTTGGGCTAAGCCCTTTTCAAGTTGTTCAATTAATGGACTGTATAAGAGTTGGGCTAAGAAACTATAACTCAATTTATATTTGGATATTGTTAAATTCATCGCATTAATTTATTTCCACCATTTGTTTTTTAAACATTTACCGATATACTCTCTTTCAATATTTCTTAAATAATAGTTATATATATCTTATATTAAATATCTAAAATATCCATCAACATTATTTTCTCATCTCATTTCACATTTTTACATACAAACACAAAAAAATAATAATAATAATTAACAATACAAATTTCAGGTTTTAAAAAATATTTTATAAATTAAAACGAGCATAATTAAGGGTTGACCCTCCTAATTTTATAAATTATAAAAAAAATATTTTCTTATAATGTGTCTATAATATTTTAGAAAAAAAAATTTTAAAAAGGTTTGAAATTACCAAATAGAATAGGTATGAAATTTACCATTAAACCTATACTATTCTGAACCTTAATCTTCTTGCCATGACACATCATACCTCAAAAAGTCTCATCATAACCCAAAAACTCTCCGCCAAAACAGATCAAATAAGAAATAACAACAAAAAATTGACAAATGAGGAAGAGTATAAAAAGAAAAAAAGAAGGTAACGAGTCATATACATAGTGTTCCACCACCATACATTTTGTCCTCACTGTCTACTCATTGCACAACTATCCATTCTTTGGACACGACTCACTACCACCGCCATGAGTAGGAACAAAGTACAAGGTGGTGGTTGTAAGTCGTGTCCAAAAAGTGGATAGTTATGCAATGAGTAGACGGTAGGCACAAAGTGCAAGGTGTGTTGGATTGGATATCCCTCTTAAATTGAAGCAAAAAACCCTTATATGCTAAAAATATTTTTTTAAAAAAAATATTAATAAACAAAGAGAGATTACGTAAGTGACCATTATAGAAATAACTTACGTGAAATGTGAATGCAGCATTAAATAAAAGATAACAATTCTGCCAATTCAACAATAAAGAATAGAAAGAAAGGGAAACTTTCCCTTTCATGGGAAATTGAAAGGTTCCTCTTCAACTCAGATGACTCCAACTCAGGTATCAGATGAAGAAGCCAGCAACTTTGCCATGCAACAACTAGCTGCTGCTTCGGTTCTGTCCATGTTCCTCAAAACAGCCATTGAACTTGACCTTCTTGAAATCATGGCAAAAGCTGGCCCAGCTGCTTTCTTGTCCCCATCTGATATAGCTTCTCAGCTCCCTACCGAAAACCCTGATGCACCTGTCATGTTAGACCGTATCTTGCGCCTTCTGGCTAGTTATTCCATTCTAAATTGCTCTCTAAAAGATCTTCCTGATGGGACAGTTGAGAGGCTGTATGGTCTTGGTCCTGTTTCTAAGTTCTTTACCAAGAATAAGGATGGTGCTTCTCTTGTTTCTCCATGTTTTGTGAACGATAAGGTCTTCATGGAAAGCTGGTACTTAACTATTCTTCCTAGCTAATTAATATATTCATCTTTATTAGTAATCTAACACAATATATAGTTAACCGAGCTAGCCTATAAATGGTCTAACTGTAGGTATCATTTGAAAGATGCAATTCTTGAAGGAGGCATTCCATTTAACAAGGCCCATTGCATGACAGTATTTGAATACAATGGAACTGATCCAAGATTCAACAAGCTTTTCAACAAAAGAATGCCAGACTACTCTACCATTGCGATGAAGAAGATTCTTGAGACCTACAAGGGATTTGAAGGCCTCACATCCTTGGTTGATGTTGGTGGTGGGACTGGAGCTGCAGTCAACTTGATCGTCTCCAAATACCCTTCCATTAAGGGCATTAACTTTGATTTGCCTCATGTCATTGAGGATGCCCCATCTTATCCGGGTACCTACTAATGTTGTCTAATAGTCAATATGGAAATATTTATTGGTATCATGCCGATCTAGCTAGAGATGGTCTTAAGATCATTTAGACGATAAAAACTTACTTAGTCTCGATTGATATATACAAAAAATTTTCCGATGATATATCCGAATATATATATCTTTGTCCATGATTTCTCTGTCGATCGTGCATTTTGGATTGAATTTGAATTAAGCAGATGGATAATGGCCTAATGGGTGCAGGTGTGGAGCACATTGTTGGGGACATGTTTTCTGTCGTTCCCAAGGCTGATGAAGTTTTCATGAAGGTTAGTTTTTGATTTAGAGAAACGACTCTGGTACCTGGCTAGCTATACCGTTGCATTTCCCGGCTTTTTAAACGCAGATTGAAGTTTTGAAGACAGATTTGATTTGTTTGGCTTAATTATATATATAGTGCTAAAAGTAAAAATAAAGTAACGACTGGATAAATTAAAATACAGAAGACAATGAAAGAAATTAAGGACATAATAAATGACACTTAAACTACTTAAATCTCGGAAAATAGGCTATTTAATTTGGTATCTTTATGCTTGAACAGTGTGTGTTCTGCATCATTTATTTTCTTGGAATCAATTAGTAGTCTTGACACACAGGACACCTCTAAAGTTCAAGATCTCTCTTTAGTACAAAATCCAATTAATAAGTAAAAAGATTGGTACAAAGTTACTTAATTACTATAATGAGAGAAATTAAGTTAAAGATCATGTTGCGCTTGTGTGCCCTTTGCCTGCAGGGGATATGCCATGACTGGAGCGACGAAGATTGCTTGAAGCTTTTAAGGAATTGCTATGATGCTGTTCCGGCAAATGGGAAAGTGATAGTTGTTGAAGGCATTCTTCCTATGGCCCCTGACACAACCCTCGCCACCAAGCTAGTCATGCGTGCCGATGTTATCATGTTGGCTATTAACCCTGGTGGGAAAGAGAGGACCGAAAAGGAATTTGAGGCCTTAGTTAAGAGAGCTGGGTTTCAAGGTTTCCAAGTAATGTGCTGTGTATTCAATACATATGTCATGGAATTCCTCAAGATTTGATCTAAGGGGCGAGAACTAATGAAGTTGTTGTTTTGGTGCCTTTTGGATGTTGTAATTGCTTTCTTACATAAACAATTTTTAATTAGATTTTAATTTTGATCCTCTCGTGTCAAACAATAACTTGTGTAGGCTTGATGCCTTGAACCCTAGATTTTCAAAATGGAAGAAAGCAATAATGGATCAAGTATCTTGCAAGATTATGAATAGTTTCTTGACAAGAAGTGATTATAACTAGCAAAAATAAAGGTAACTTTCGTTATTTAAGAGTGAGAACAGAAATTCAATATTCATCATCTACAATTCATGCTTCCAGGCCCAATTGGACCAAGTTATTGGGCCCAATTGATGAACTGATTTTATGGCTTGTTAAAATTGCATTTGCTTAGAGTCAACTCCGGCCTGCTGTGGAGAAGGGAAGTGGATTTTAGTGTTAAAACTCCAATATTGGGTTACAATCAACCATGGAATTTCTGTCAGCCAGCAAATCCGGAAAAGCTTGGAAGCAGGGGTGGAACTAGTGCGACATTTCTAGGAAAAAATAATTTGTTTCGTTGACTTTTTAAGTTTGTCGTGATGGATATAATAACTATCCAGGAAAGGAATATTTGCATGTAGTAGTAGTAAGTTTTGAATTAAGCTTCACGAATTTTAAGAATAATTATTTATTTGCAGCTAGGATTGAAGGAGGCTGTGACGTAATAATGTTGTAATAGCTGTTTCTGAGCAGGGAAATTCAACATTCTAAGCAATCATAGCAAATCTATATCAGCCTCACAAAGAGGAAAAAGAAAAAACAAGTAGAAGGGAACTTCATGGTTTAGGTCTCTGATAATAATGCCAGAATAAAATAAATTGCATAAAGTTCTGTTTGATTACAACAACAATTACTAAAGAACATGTATTATTAGTACATGAATCAAATCAACAATAGGTAGCATGGACCAACAATCCAACACTGACTGGAACAAATTCGAATGTTTAAAAACGCATGAGACAGTAACAAGAACTCTTCCCCGTTCGCAGCGGTTTCTGATGCTTGAAACAAAACACTTCATGTGCTAGAAAGGAGTATGCAACTGCCATCATTTCACAAATTGAACATGAATCTGAGGGTGATTTCAGCAATGCGTCCGCCCTGGATTTCAGAAAGAAAAACTAAAACAACAATCAATGCCTCCTCCACCGCCTGAATTTATTAGGAAAATGCATCACTTATTAACCAAAGAAGCAGTACTATTACTTAGTTCTTGAAAAATTCCAAACAGTGTTCTTTTTCCAAGTCCCTGCTCCAAAACTTCTTGTAATATTCAGCATATGTGAAATCCCTGTATACCGCTCCGGTTCCATCATCGGTGAGAGCTTTCGGCGGGGTGATCATCGCGTTATCGCCCGGACAGAGGAAGGAAGCAACCGACATCCTTGCCTTATCAGTATTGGTGACGGCTCGGTGCCACACACTCTTATATCTCCCATTGCTTGCTGCCTGCAATCACTCACACTAGTAAGAAGTCCCTTGAACCTAGGTTGCTAGGATGAACACTACTTCTACAGCATTAGAATGTTGCACAATATAAACAAAATGTAAGTTTACCTGTAATTGATCACCAATGTTGATGACAAATGCATCTGGATGGGGATTAACAGCAACCCACTTGCCGTCTTTGAGGACTTGAAGCCCAGCTACTGATTGGTCTTGAAGTAAAATAGTTAGGGCATTGGGGTCTGTATGTGCTGGCAATCCATAAGTCAACTCTGGCTCTGGACATGGAGGATAAAAGTTTACAGCCATATGCTGTCCTTGTTCACCCAAAACACTCTTTATGTGATCCTTTTCCAGGCCTAAGCTCTCTGATATCAGTTCTTGTATTCTGAACCCAAGCTCTCGAACTTGTATACAGTAACTACTAACAATTTCCCTTCGGACACAACACATTTCACATCATTAGATCGTAATTGTACAGCACACTGAGATGGTTTTGTAAATCTTGACTAATATTTTAATTTTTAAGTAAAACAAAATTTTAAAAATTATCCACAAATACAGACAGGCACATACATCAAAATGCAACATCAAGCACCCCGACATGTTTCTTCAATAATTGTGATCATGTTTGAATTAAGAACATTTCCTAAGAAACTTATGAAACCGAGCTTGCGTTTAAAGTCATCCATCCAGCCTATATATTATTAATTATTTATTTGTTCGAAATAAAATTAAAAAAAAGCCTATAAATTAGATAGCAGAAGAAGACGTAACTCATTGCTTTACTCCAGCCACATCACTGGCCCTATCTAAATGACATCAATCCTATTAGATTGTTATCTCTTTATCTTGGACAACCTTGAAGTTGAACCACAAACTTTAAAACATGACGACACGATTTTTCAATGCTAGCCTAAAAAACTTCTTAGCCAAACCTATCACCTCATACTTACTAGTTCTTCTAGTTTCAGTTTCACGAAACATCTATGGCGGTTTTGAGCTATACTTAAGTCATTAAAAATTTCATACTTATCGTGTTTTTCATATAAGTTGTTTTTATAATTGAATGATTAAACGTTAAAATATTCATATAACTAAGAAGTCTACGTTGCTTGTAAACCCATAAGAATAATATAAATCATATTTTATAATCTCATTTATAATTTTAAATTTTTAAATTAAAATATTTTTTATAAAATATTAGAATTTTAATAACCAAACGGTTATAAATTTTTTCTGTACTCGTTAAAAAATTTTAAATTTTAAAAATAATTTTATATCACTATCTGATGTGACTAGTCTCATCATACCAGCAACTTTGTTTTGGCACGGAAGACACCTAGTATGATAACCTTAGCATATTTTATGAATTATACTTCTGAAAGTTCCGTAATCAAGAAAACAATCGGAAGGACTCTCCAAAGAATAAACCATTTTTATTTTCTTGTGGAATTGTCAAGACATCGACAAATTCAAGATGGCTCATGAGGGGATAAAAACCTTTTTTCTTTTGGCATTAATGAATGACCAGCATTACTCTGCCGGTAGCCCAGAAAGGACAGAAAGAGAGCCCTGCTTAATTAATTTGACAAAATTGACTGATCGAATAACACCAACCAGGTCATGTGCAAGCATCATCGTTCTAGAAGAGACTTAACTACTGACGGTGACTTTTGCGAACTACCCTACCTTATTAAATTGTTTCGTACACTATGTAATAAGAGATTCCAGTGAATCATTCTCTAATCCTGGATTTTTAACTCTACTATAACTTAGTCGTTCATATTTTAAAACTTATAACTTAATCTTTTAACTCTTATATATTAATCTTTGTTGGTGTTTTCAGCAAAATATCACCACATGCCAACGTTAAATACTTGAGTAACTTTAATATATATATATATATATATATATACACACACATCGCTACCATTAATGTTATCGTAAATGCCAAAAACATTCTAATTTATTAGTGAAAAACCAACATAATAGGGGCTTAAAGAAGCACCAACTGGTCAAAATAGTCAAAGGATTTAAACATATAAGTTTTCAAATCTGAAGGACTATTTTATAATATTTCAAAAATCGAAGGACTAAGATATAATTTAGTCAATGGATTTAACAGCACATCACCAAAGCCAATCAATCATTGATAAATCACATGATACGGTACTCTTACGTCAACACTATTTTAGGCCATGACATCACATTCCACCAAGTTAAGAAACTTTTTTTTAATGTTGTAAGAAATAAAAATGTCAACGGACGTGATCTCATCCAATGCATTAATAGTAACGCCATCACCGTTGGATTATAAAAATAATTGCCCACCATAATATTTTAAGTCCCCATTTTTTTTGTATTTTACGAAGACTGCACTTGAGGGACCGCTGGCCAACCTATGCAATCCAGCTCAAGATCAAAACCACATTAACTTTTGGGACCAACTTTGCCAATATTCTGACACCAAGTTGCCCAAAAGACAACGTGTAGTTAATAGTTTTCGAGTCTAGAATTCGGTATCGGCATCAAGGATTAAAATAAAATTATGAAACACAAATAAGTTTAATCTATCGTTGAATATCCGATTAGCTTTCTTGACGAATAAAGGTTCGAGTTTTTTCTGATTATGTAATGAAAATGACTAACTCTATTGTATAACCCATTAGACCTTCCATAAATAAAAAAATAAAATTATAAAAATACCTAAAAGAAAAAAGAATAAATTAAATTTAAGCATTGAAGATCAAATATGTTTTATCACTGAGAAAATAATATATTATCACTAAGAAAATAGTAAAAATGAAATTGTACATGTAGTCATCAAACAATATATTGTAATACACGAAAGTAATAAATAATTTATTTAATATAAAATTGTATGAACACTTGCAGGTATTAGATGTTCAAACCATGCAACATGCAAAACGTAAGATGTGTATATATATATATCTGTGTGTGGGTGTGTGATTGTAGCATCATTCACCATCTAATTGAATATTTTCTACGGTTTCTGATCTGAGTTTTATTTGAAGATAACTAGAAATATAGAATCAAATCATGATAAATAATAATAATAGATATGGGAGAAGAGTTGATGGACTTCGTTATCGAGATTTAAAATTTAAACCAATGAATTATTTATTGGTTTACGTAAGTTCTGCATACGACAAATTGACATATATTTTATTAGATAGCATTGGTGATATGGAAATGAACGGGACAACTTTACTTCTTCCTTTTTTCTTTTTTTTTTGATGTTTGCATGGTACATCAAACAAGTAATTGAAAAGATATATAGAGACATAGAAAATGAGCCACAAATTTACATTAAAAAAAAAGGTAAAGAAAAAATATAAGGTGAAGAACAGTCCTGCCGACTCATATTTTGGAGACAATTCAAAACTCAATCAATAATTTTGATACCCTTGTATAAAAAGTGAAAATGACCATTGAACTAAAACCAGAAATTCAAGAAAACTTTTCGAACCAATATAATTGATTATCCAATTAATCAACAATAACATATTTCAATTAATAATTCCTTCATCAATATGTTACTCTTTCCTTTCCAAAGAAATTAATTATTTATCTTTTTATTTATATTTATCTCAAAATATTTGCCTAGTCAAAATCTTAAATGTATTTTTTAAAAAATATCTCAAGCTAACCCCATGATTTTCCATGAGCTTATTACACTAATTAACTGACAATTATAGTTGGATTTACCACAGCTACAGAAATTAAGCCAGTGCCTAATTCATGGTGTTGATCACCATGGCATCTATAATGGATCTTTTCTCCTCTACGTGGAGGACTGTATTTTGCATCACTTTTTGGCCACATACACAAAATTGCTTTAAACGTGAGCAATTCCTTTAATATGTGGACAAATCGATAATGATCTTTTTGTCCTTGACATTCGATTTTCTACTTGATTGGCGCTACAGAACACAGAAAAAAGGGACTCTTAAGGCAGGAAATGCGTAAAAAATGATGAAGGAACCGTTTAGATCCATATTGATCCAAGTATGTGTCAAATTTGTTCCCAGCAATAATGTGGCATGCAAAGAGAAAAAGGCCATGTTAGGAAGAGGTACAGAAAAGTAGGGCTACAGATCCCACGAATCCCCCCTTTATCGAGCTGCTGCATGTGCTCACATGCCAACCTACTTACTTCGTAGAATATTTTTTTACTCCTATAGGACCAGAAGAAAATTGGTAGCAATGACTTGAGGAGTGGGGGAGAGTGGACTTTTCTTGGTCTGCGTGGATAAATTGCTATTGATTAGATCTAACACTTCTTGCTTTTTGGCATGAGGAAAAGGTCTTCTAGTAGAGTAGGGCTAGAATCCATCCATATATAGTATGATGTATACACACAACTTTTTGTTGGGATTTTAATGGTATTTTTCCCATCTTTATCGTGGGTTGTGGAATGTTTCCGCAGGTAAAGTTAGGAGAACTAATTGAAAAGATGTTTTTAGTAGGGAATTAATCTAATTAAATAAAATTTATATACATTTTAAATTTAAAATAATATAATATAATACAGTTTCAAAACTCATAAAGATAAGATCTTTTCAGATTCAGTTGCATGGCGTGCACAATAACTGCTATGCATTATAACCTACGACAAATTCATAACCTAGGATAAGTTCACATGTTTGGACTGTTCAATAACTGCTATGCAATAACATTAACATCAACCGATTACAACCTAGGACAAGTTCATTGGATATCTCGTCTGCATTTTTTTTATTTTTAATTACACGTGGAATTTCAGAAGGAAAAAAAAACTCTAACCTAACTTTTTTTTTTTGCTTTTTTATTTTAAGATGTGAAAAATTTTAAAAATCTTCTAATAAAATAAAACAGTACAAAATCCTAGATCACATATAAATATTCAAAATCAATTTTAATACTTTGATTATATCATTTTTTTAATTTATAACAATAAATAAATAAGATGATTAGAATGTCGTCAGAGAATAAAATATGATATCTGAGAAACCAAGTAGGTTAGATTTACTATATAAATTTTATCTTTATTATTATTATTATTATTATTATTATTTTGTCTTTATTAACTAGTCAAATAGCATGAAAATATGAAATATTTTTATTTTAATATTACGTGTTCAAGGAAGATTTTTCTTGGTACATTTTTGCTAATAAAAGATAACTATGAAAAAGAAAAAAGACAGAACGAGATGTGGCAAATTCTATGCACCTCTAGGTGTCCCAAGCATAGCTCTTCATGTATGTGTATCTACTCTACTGTGTATGACTGCGTTGAGAGAGAGTATAGAGAGAGAGAGAGAGAGAGAGGGGAGGGAGAACTCACTTGAACGGAGGAGGGTTAGAGGGCCACTCAGGCTCATACTTGTCAAGAGGATAGCAATGGAGTCTGAGATAGTCCCTCCAGTTGTGGACCTTCTCCTTATTCACATTAAAACTTGTAGAAAGTCTCATTGTCTTTGATGGGTCATCTGAATAAAGCTTCAGCTTCTCCTCAACAGGCAAGCTGAAGAACTCATGGGCCACTCCTAACATTTTCTCCACTGCTTCCGAAGACACTCCATGATTGATCACCTGCCATTAAGAAACCAACTGAATATTCGCTATATATGTATCCCTATTACTTAGCCCTACTGCATCTAATCATACTAAAATCTCAAAGATGAAGGACAGGTACGACTTGAGTTACAAACATAGAAAATATTCTATTGCTTGTACGTGGGTGTGTGTATATGTATAAGGAAGTTATAGAAAGTTGGCTAACCTGGAAAAAGCCATAGTTCTGGCAGGCATCACCAACTTGTTGGACAATTTGGTTCCTATCCTGACAACCTAAATCTATAACCGGAACATTTTCGCACGTTGAAATTTCCGACAGCCGTGGACGTTCGGATTCCGGCCTAACATAACTTGCCGGCAAGTTTGCATACTGGATGCCAGAGGAAAGGACTTTTGTCTCCATGTTACCAACTAAAAAGAGTAACAAAAGATGAAAAAGACAGCAAGTTATTATAAATTAAAAAGACACAAATATGTGCATCCTTTAATTTTGATGCTCAGAGGAGTTATAATAGCTATGCAGCTTCCAGGAAGATGAGAGCACTCTGTAACACAGCATAGGTATTTATATTTGCACATGGAAGCTGGGCCAGTTTTATTTCATTATAATATGATGGTTGTTTGGCATATTGTTGATTTGATTTATATAAATAACGTTTATTTAATTTATTATTATTATTATTATTATTAGAAAGTTAATTGGGCTCTTTCGTTGCATATTGTTGCTCAGGAGGGTGAAAAGTTACATGCCACAAAAACTTTTTAACAGCATGGTTGTGGTTCATTGGTATTTATAAATAACTCTTTACTTTCTCTATTGTGATTCTCAATGATTTGGGTTTTGTTTCATTCAGTCATTATTTGATTATTAGTAATGAAATATTCGAAATGAGAATATAGAAATCAAAATAAAAATTAAAAAAATAAAATAATATTTATATTATTACATCGTGTTTTGAATATTAACAAAAAATCGAAATGTAATTTAAATTTTTTAATATTTTATATATATATATATATATAATAATTAAAAAATAATTTTATCAAATTATAATAGTTATAAAAATAATAAAAGTGATGGTGGTGGTGGTGGTAATAGTTATGTCGGTGATGGTTCGGTGGTGGTAGTAGTGGTGATACTTGTGATGTTTGCGATGATAGTGGTGATGGTAGTTGTAAAAATAATTAATGAACAACGAATAAATAAAATATATTATTATTAAAAAAAATCATTCTTATTTTTTATTTTTATTCACACATATTATATGAGAATGAAGTTGAATGTGTAAATTTTTATTTTCATTCTTATCTCATTTTTTTTAATTAAACAACTACAACATGAGAATAAAATTTAATGTTTGGTGAATTGCCAAGTATGTAGTACTATTTGTGTGGGCTATGCACACCAGTTTTATAATGGACGAGAGGAAATAAGTTTATTATTTATTTGTCTATTACTATTATAAGTTTTTGAGTATTTTGTTTTTTTAGTTAGCTTTCGTATTAAACTAGACTGAGTCAATTGCCTTTTGAGTTAAGGCAATATCCAATCACAGTAAGTTTTTTTGTTGTTTCTAAAAAAATAAATTTTTTAAACTGACAAGCAATCCATTTCTAATACCGCATGGTTGAGACAAATAAGGTTTTAAAGTAAAAATCGAATTCGAAGAGTTACAAGTATTTTTCTTACCATTATTTCTATAACTTTGAACAAAAGGAAATAAATTTATGATAACTTTTCTATGAAATTAGATTCAAAAGTGAACTGATTAAACTATTAGATCATCTAATTATTAGTTCAATAAATGGATTGTGATAATACATTTATATGATTTATATCATTTTATTGCAAATCAATTATAAAATATTTATAATGAAGTGATAATTATATAATATTTAGTCATATAAGTCGCAAATTTCTGTTTTTTTTTTTTCCAAAATTAGAATAAATGCTTGATTCGACTAGGCCAATCCGCAACTAAAATTTATCAAATCCTATATTAATTTATCGAGTCTCAGATATTGATTCAGACTAGTTAGAGTATTGGATCTGGTTCGTTTTTGACGATTCGGTAGGATTCAATAACATTTCTTCCCGAGAGAAATTGCTGCATATATATATTTGACCCGAAAGAACAAGTAACGAAAAACAAGACAAAAGACTATTATTGTGAGTTTTATTCAATCAAAGATTATTATTCTATTTTTCTCATGTTTTAAATTTAATTCACATTTTTTATCAGGCCATTAAATCTTTTTTGTCATCTTATATATGTTTTTAATCCATGTTTATATTGCGAGAACGAAATCAGATGATGAAGATTTACCTAACCACGTTTTGTTTTTTCCTCTTGCACAAGCAAATAGTACATAAAAGAGATAATGATCATTCCAAGAATTTTGTCATTCCTATATACTAAAAAAAAAAAAAAATCAATTTACATTTAAACAAAAAGGTAAGTGATAATGCAGCGTAAAGCGTATTAATCATACATGGTTATTTAGTACTAAAAAAAAAACTCACGAAACTCAATTTTTATTCCTCATTCATGTCTAATTGCCAAAATTGCCAATAGACTATTACAAGTTTACTCTTTAAATATGAAAACTAAAAAACCCTAATAATACTGAATAAGAAAAATAAAATAGAATACTAGAGCACTAATTTCTTAATAAAACTTGCATAATTAAATAAAAAATATAACAAATTCTTGAAAATTCTTACAAATTAAATAAAGAATTAATTATATTTTTGGTTCACCAACTTGTCAATTTTTCCTAGTCAAGTTTATACTCTTTACTCTTTGTTATTTAAGTAGATCAAGTATAATTTTTTTTTCTAATCAAATATTTTCAGTAACTCTCATTGATTTTATGCTAACTTGGTCATTAACCGTACACATGGCACCAATATGTATTGGACTCTACTCGTCGGTTATTTTATGTATACAAACTTACTAATTTTTTTTATTTGAATTATTCTACTAACTCGAGACCGATGTATTAGTTAATTATACATATGGTACCGTCAATTAGGTCCTATTAACAAATATTTGGATCCAAAAATAAACTACCGTAAAAAAATTTATTGTTTGACAATTGAGACAAATATACTAATAAACAAATACAATGACAATTACAATAACTCGCAAATATCACTATAGTTTTATAGAAATTACTCATAGTTTCATTTTCTTAAGAAGTGCTAGTAAAAACTTTGTTAAACTTCAATTATGTTATTGAAATTTCACTCCCTAAAAGTTCTTGCTGAAATATTTTATATGTCCTTGGACATAGATGATCACTTGACATTAACTTAACAAGATTGCTTGTTTCTTTCTCCATTCGCTCATTAAAATTGTATTAGGATTGTATCACTACAAAAATCAATTAAATTTACGACTCGTCTAGATCGTTGCTAAATGTGAAAAAACCGTTGGAAAGATGATTCAGCGACGTTCAAAAGCTCGTCCCTAAAATGCTCGTCGTTAAATTTTTGCTACAATTTTTGGACCATTGCAAATTAGCGACGGACAAAACCGTTGCAAAAAAAAAAAAAACCGTTGGAATATTTGCGATGGTCTATTAAACCCTCGGTAAGTTCTTCGCTAAATAGCGATGGTTTGGTGATCGTTTCAAATTAGTTTTTATTAGCAACAACCTAGACCGTCGCTAAGTCCGTTGTTAATTGTTTAATTATATTTTTTTTCGTCCAATTAAATTGCTAAACTTAACAAATTTTAAATAAAAAAATCTCCTAAAATATCTTAAACATAATATTTTAAAATTTCAAATGTATTATTATAAATTGTATTAAAACTTCGCTAAATATTATTCTATTATTAAATTAATGAAAACAATACAAAGTCTTATCTAGAATTTGTATTGTCTTTTGTTTTTCCCAAGACATTCATAATTGTATTAAACACATTGAAAAAATATCTTTAACAATAAGGTAGATCCCGGAATATACTACGTTTTTTTCCAACCACAATATTTAGATACATTATCTTTATACTTATTGGATCCTTTTTTCGTTACTTTCAACAACCCCTAATGGTTTAGTTCTTGCAAAATTTCAATTCCAAACTTGATAGAAGGAGTAATGTCTCGTAACAACTGAATTTCGCTTGAACGCATTCATATTTCGCCCGAAATGATGGCTTAGTGGGAGAAAATTTTGATGGCAATCAAACTATAGTTTTTCTCGTCGTTTCGGAGGCCGAAAGCATCGAATTTTTCATACAATATAGGCATGTCGTCTTACACGTAGTACTTAAACGCGATAATATTGAATATGCAAAAAAACCACTTATTGTCCATATGACAGCAGCCTCTCATCTAAAAATTATCTTTACAGGACATATAATAAATAAGAGAACTTACTTCCCATAATTCAACTCCGTGACGCCCCGCTCCCTTGCCTATTACCTAACAAGCGTGACCGGCGCGACACACTCGTCGGGACTAAGTCCCCTACTTCCTCCATCATACACAACGAAACTAAACAATGGGAAACGTATGATATAATTTACAACATTAGTACGGATAGTTCTATAATTTATAACATATTCAAAATGCCTAAAAATTTACAACCTAGGCCCGTATCCCTTTTTAATGACACAAAAGATATTTCTATTTTTATGAGTGACACATGAGCCTTTTGTTAGCGAGAACCGATAGCATCCTCGATCAACTTAACTTTGCTTTTGCTCGAACAACACACAAATACAATAACGAATGAGCCAAAGCTCGGTAAGTAGGGTGATGCATGTGATATGCAATGCTATTGTGTTTTTCATATTTTCATCCATTTTAATCCGGTACCCTAGGTATATGCAAGTCCGTGCGCCAAATCTCTCGGTGATCATGTTATCACCTACCGCTCTATTACTTTCTCTCGGTGATCTCAATATCACCTATCGCTCGCAACGGAATTCTCCCTCGTTGTAGCACACGATTAGCGGAATTATCCCTCGCTTAACGGTGTTAGTAAATAGAGCTCGCACTATGGATTCCTTGCTATTACCCAATCCACTCAATTCGGTTATCAAACCGTATCAATTCAAGACTCAATGATTTTTCTCAATTTATTTCCACCTCCAATGCACATAATGCACGTGATGACATGTTTAATCACATTCAACCAATCTCGGATACCAGCCCTTCTTTCTTAAGCCATACTCACGGTCCAACCATCACTCGAATTCACTCGGCGCTCACATACCATTCATGGTACTCATAGCGGAAACTCAACATCCGCTCATTAATATTGTTTATTAGTTTCATTAATAATTAAAGAAGGTCCAATTTTTTTTTTTTTGTAATTCCTCTCCGAAAGAATAAATTTTCTTTAGAATTTTAAAATCCTTTTTATTTCTATCTAAATCCACTTATTTTAGC